CCCCCCCCCCCGCTCTGGGCTTCTGCCTTTGCCCTCGCGAGCCCCCGAGGGGCTGCGCTGCGCTGCCGCGGCTGGATTGGGCGCACGGGCTAGCTAGAGGTCCCCTCGCCTTAAGGCGGCCTGCGCCAAGGGCGTGTCCAGGCCCGGGCAGCGTGGTCCTGGGAGAGCCGGTGTGGCCTCCCGGGGGGGGGACTGCTGGGCTGGGGCTGGGGGAGCAGCTTCTGGACCCACTGGGCCCCTTTGGACGAGGCCCTGAATGGCAGCCCAGCCCACCTTGCAGGGCTGTTGCGAAGAGAGAACAGGCAGAAGGCCATGATCCGAGACAATGGGCAGGAGGTGCACCAGAGAGGCCTGGACCCTCCCGCCTGGCTCCTCCGAGGCCCCGGCTGGCCGCCTGAGGCCCGCTCTGCCTGCCTTCCCATTGACAGAGAGCTTACCTATTAATTCGGGGGGATGTGAGCCGCTGCCAGCGTTTTCTTTTCGATGCACTCATCCCAGGTCACAGTGCACTCAGTCCTTGCTGTGGTTAATCATTAAGGCGCTCCCTTTCTGTCGCACCCGCAGTCTCCCAAGCAAACCTCGCGGGGCTGTACCAGCGGTTCCAGGCCCTGGACAGGGATGAGAAGGGCTTTCTCAGGTGAGTGGCTGTCTCAGGTGAGCGGGAGGGAGCGGGGAGGGCAGTCTGCCAGCCCGAGACGGCGTCTTCCCCCTCGCGGCACTGGTGTCTCCCATTCCGCGCCTGAGCCACACTTCCAAGCGCCTTCGCACGAGTAGCCTTGCTGGGCCTGGAATCCGCCCTCTCGTGACGGTGCTTTCCCCCCTTCTTCCTTGGTGCGGATCTTGGCATTTGCCCCTGCTAAATGCCGTTCTGTGGTTTCCAGCCCAGCACTTCAGCCTGTCCAGCTCACCCTGGATCGTGTTCTTTCCTTCCAGGGGATCAGCCACCCCACCCAGCTTTGTGCCAAAGAGTGGGCTAGCCGTTTCGTGGAACATCTCACCGAAACGAGAGTAATGCCCATGACTTTTTCCTGCTATGACAAACCCACATACTCATTGAAGAGTGTGGATGTTTCTCTCCCCCCTGCATGCTCCTTTAGCCACTTTCGATACTCGCTATGAGCAGAAAAGTTGTACTTGTTTGTTTTCAAAAAGAATCCCAAACATGTCTTGCTCAAACGGCTGCAAATCGAGATTTCCTTAAAGCGACACTCGCGCGCTTTCTCTGCAGCAAAGAGGACCTCCAGGGGCTCGGGGAGCTTGCAGTAAACCCCATCGGAGACCGGATCATCGATGCTTTCTTCCCGGATGGGTTTGTACAGTTTCGTGCAGACACTTCGCCCCCACACAGGAGTTAAGCGCTGTGCTTGCTCTCCCCTGGTTCTGCTGCCACAGCGAAATCGGAGCTCAGTGGCTGAGAAGGGTTTGAAAGGCCAGTGGCCCACTAGAGAGAGGCTCTGAACAGCGCCTTGTTTAGAGGCAGCTGGGCTGTTTTTCTGAACTGGGAGGACAAAGAGAGGTTTCTTTCGCCGCCAACAGTCTGTGCGGAGAGCAAAGCTGCTCGGCTTTTCTGCGGTCTGCTTCCACCTGGAGGGTTCTGTCCCAGCTGGGTTCCGGCAATGGCTGCTCGGTGCCAGAAGAGCCCCAGACCTGACGCATGGCCCTTCCGCCCCGCCTGTCTCCACTTCGCCAGAACTGGGGAGACTCTTCTGGACAAGCGGAGAAGCAGGGAGCTGAGAACGGGCTGCAGCCCTTGGTGACGCATCCCGGGGCCACTGGCTCTGCCACCCTCCCCATTTGCATCTTCCACAAGTGCATTTTCGCAGCGTGTCAGATGCTGCCTTCGGTCGGTTCCGGCGACGGTGCTTCTCCCGTGGAAGTGGCCGCTGGGCTGGTGTGCAGGGGCTACTCTCCTCGCCTCCCGGATGCGAAGGCTCCTGAAGGGGTGGGGGAGCTCGGCCCACCTTGGGCCTTGCTGGAAAGGGGAGGGCAGGAGCGAGTGGCAGCTGCCCAGAGCCCCGGCAGGGAACACGGCACCCCGTTTCCGGCCTGCCCCCTGCACCGTCCCTGGGAAATGCTAACGAGGATTCTGTCCTTGATTCCCCACGGGCCTCCCTGGAAGGGTATGGTGCTGGGAAGCATCGTCTTCTTCCTCCCTAGGAGAGAGACCACCGACTTCCGAACGTTTGCCCGCGTGCTGGCCCACTTCCGGCCGGTGGAGGGTCCGGTCAGCTCAAACAGCATAAACAGCCGGCTTAGCAAGCTGAAGTGTGAGTCAAGAGCAGCAGGGTGGGGTGGGGGGAAAAGAGCACCGGGGTGGGAGGCGGCACCCCTTGTAGCCATAAGGGCTAGAAACTTGGCTTTGCTTTTAAATGAGAACTGAGTGCCAAGTGTCCCAGCTTTGCTGTATGAAGATGGAAACATCAGAGAGAGAGAGAGAGAGAGAGAGAGAGAGAGAGAGAGAGAGAGAGGAGAACATCCGTCTTCCTTGTTGCTTAAATGGCTGCACATGCAGATTTTTGTGTGGCTGTTGGGCCTGGGGCCACATGGAAAGCACAGCACGAGGGCAGAACTTGCTTAGCCAGCAGGCCAAAGCCATTCTGGGGAAGCTCCCAGGGCCCTTTCCTGGGGAGGGTGGGGATAATAGCCAATGGTGTGGGGTCAAAAATAGCAGAAACGCCCCCATGTCTCAGCTTCCAGCCAGTGATGAAGCCGCAGGAGAGGCGTTTTGGCTTTGCGGCAGAAGGAAAGCTTGGGTGGACCACCAGGAATGGAAAGGGCGTGAGGCCAGGTGTCGGGCGTGGGGCCTTCTGGGGATCGGGACCCAGGGGCTGAGGTTCTGCGCTCCCGCATGAGTACCGACACACCTCCGTGTCTTTCTGCTCAGTCGCTTTTCAGTTATACGATCAAGACAAGGACGGCAAGATTTCGCGAGGCGAGATGCTCCAGGTAACTCCTGTGCATGCAGCCCTTTGGAAAGACGGTGGGAGTGGAGAGAAGCCGAAATGAGCCGTGAAAACGAGCCCTGTGCCTGACCAGCGCATTTTGTTTTGTAAGAGCCGCTCTTGAGCTCCGGGCTATCTCCTCCTCTGCCAGGGAAATCCTTCCCTCTCAGCCTCCGATCGGAGCAGGAGAGCCTTCATTACTGGGGCAAAAGGAGAAACACTCTCCTTTCTCTAGTTTTGCCAGGCAAGAAAGCCTTGGTAGGGAAAGTAGGCCTCCGAGTTTGACCTCTGAGGTTCCGATTAGACCCAGGATGGGTGCCGTTGGAGGCCATGCAAGAGACCTGCCCAAGGAGGCAGGAAAAGTGTATGTTTTTCTGGTCTAGCATCAGAATCTAGCATGAGAGATGCCTTCACCAAGAGGAGAGCAATCAGAGGCTGGCATGATGCACCTGCCTGTCACCTCCCAGCCTGTCTGAATCGCCAGCCTCTCTGCTCCCTTGTTCCCCAACCAGCTGCTGAGGATGATGCTCGGGCTCCAGGTGACGGACGAGCAACTGGAATGCATCACGGACCGAACCATCCAGGAGGCCGACAGAGACGGAGACGGCGCCATCTCCTTCGAGGAGTTTGCGAAGGTCCGGCTGCTTGAGAACACTCCTGTGGCACTACGAGAAACGCAGGCTCATGGGGGTGGGGGGCATTTAATGCCAGGAGCCGAAACCACCGACCCACCGTCTGCGGTGGACGCCAGTCACTTAGCTCAGGGAAGTAACCTCTTCTTCTCAAGTTGCGTAGCGGCCCTGAAAAGTAGTTCTAGGACTTGAAACACCAAGGAACGTGCTTTTTAACACTCTCCTTCCCTGCTTTGTTTTGCAGTCTGTGGAAAAGTTGAACATTGAACAAAAGATGAGCCTCCGGATTCTCAAATGATCGGTTGAGGACCAGAGAATCCACCACCTCCGATCAGAGATGAACAAACCTGCGGGCTTTGCCAGCTGCAAAGTGAATGGCTCTGGGTAGATCTCACCGCTGTTCCCGAGACATCGAAGGGACCGGCTTCAAGAAGGCTTCTCTTTAGCCAGGATTTCTGCCTGATGAGGATCCTGCCTGGGTTTGCTGACCGGCTACTGTCTCCAGTTACCTCTGCCCTGTCCAGAGGCTGCTTCATGGCTGTATTTCAGCCAGAAATGGGCCTGTGATTTGATCATTTTTTTGCACAATGGCCAGCTTCCCATTTTGTGTACTAAAATGCTGAGCAAGCTAGAATTTTTTAACGGAGGCCAAGAGCACAAAGAGTCTCTCTTCCCCATTTTATATATGCAGAGGCAGGATATCAGAACTCCGGCCGTGAAGAGAGGACTTGGGTGTGAAAAGTCTTAGGAATACAGTGGGGGTACACCGCGGCTGCTTCTTTGGGGAAGCCCATGTCCCCCTGGAGGGAGGGAGGGAGGGAGGGAGGGCGCTGATGCGTTTGCGGGCCCCAGAGGCTAGCCGTCCTCGCTTCTCAACTGGCTTGCACCACTTGGCCTTTCAAAAGAGACGCGGGCAGCGAAATGCAATGGTGCCCCAACCCAGCGTCGAAGGAAAGGGCCTCGTCTAGGGCCGATTCATGGCAGTGCGCCTCCAAAGTGACATTAAAAAAGAACACAGGTTTGAATCGATGCTTCAGGACCTCGTGACTTGCTCTCCTCGATCATAGTTCCCCTCACTATAAATCCCTAGAACATAGCCACAAAGTTACCACTCATTTTAAATACTCCTCTGAGGCTTTCGCAGGGAAGAGCAACAAAAGCTCCCCTCTGCCTTATTTATCCTTCATCCCAGGCTTCTGCCCTTGCTGGCAGTTGGGACCCTGGGGGTGGGGGGGCTCTCTGGCAGCAAAGGACCTTTCGTGTATGCGCAGCCGATTCCTTTTGTGGGAGATGCTGCCCAGAGCGGCCCTCGGGCCTTCCGCGTTCGGCGCAGGGCCCGCCACAGGGCCACGGCTCCCCCCCACGCCTGGCGTTGATGGTTTCCCGCCTCGCCTCTCCCCCCCGCCACCCCCAGAGTGCCCATGCGCCACAACTCATTATGCAAGCCCCTCTTTCAGGATTCATGCCCAGGCCTTTGGATCGGGCTCAGTGAAGTGTTTTTAAGCGGGGAAAAGAAAATAACCGACGAGCCGCAGGGCTGCAGCGGCCGCTTTGCTTCCCGTGCTGAGAAAAGGGCAGTAACAGACAAGCCGTCCGATAAAGGTGTGTGTTTCTTTTGGTGAAGTCGCTGTGGAGCAAACCGTACAGGATGCCAGCACAGCGCAGCTCCCCCTGGTGGCCTGGTAGAGAAGGCAGCCCGGTCCTCCTCTCAAGTGCTTGCAAGATTGGGATCAAATCTGTAGATGCTCACGGGGGGAGGACCAGGGCAACAAACTGCTCCCCAGAGCTCCCCAGGCACAGGAGGCCGTGGTGGCGTCTGTGTGTTCCTGCTCCGAGTCCCGCAACATCTCCTGTCTTGACGCTTGCTTGTTTCTGCCTGGGCCTCGGATCCCGCCTTGCCTTGCCTTGCCTTGCCGGATCCTGACCCCGTCTTTGCCACAGGCCCCATTCCTTCACCCTCCGCGAGGCCAGGGGAGCCTGGGAGGCGGGGCAGACAGCAGACTGCACAAGCTCGGCTTTCAGCCCAAATCCTGCCAGGGTGCGGGCGCCTGGCTCTGAAGGAGCGGCACAGCAGATGCACGAGGAGCCAGCAAATCTGGGCACGCTTCCCTGCGTCAGGCAAGGGCCTGCTTCCTTGCGCGGCAAAGGTGCCAGAGTGTTGCTCCAGCCTTTCTGGAAAGCTGCAGGATGCATTTCTCCGGCAGCATCAGCAGCCGTTGGCCGAGAGTCCACCCTTGGTGCTCTGGGAGGGCTTCAGCCGCGGCAGCTGAATCCGGCTTGGGACAAAGGTGGAGAAAGCCCGCGTCGCCCCAAGTCACATCTCCGTGGCCAAACTGTCATGGACCTAAAGCCACGGAACTCCGCGTGCCCGTCACACACAGCCAGCGCCTTTTCCTGAGCCGGACCCCGGGTGCCTGGGCCAACGTCCCTGGTGCCGACCGGCCCAGCCGCTCCGCCAGCTTTCCAGCCAGGATGTCAGCCTGGCACCATCTGCGGGCGAAGCAGATTCAGGGCCCTGCGACCATCTGTGCCCAGCGCTTGCCGCACTCCCGGCGGAAAGAGTGGGAGGCAGCACGCAGAGGAGGTGGACCCGCTCCGGGCTCCGCTGGCAGAGTCGGCCGCCTGCCACTCCCTGGGCCCGTGCTGGGGACCAGGACTGTCGAAGAGCCCCCCCCGCCCCCAGGCCCGCCCTGGCTCCTGCGCTCCCGCCCTGCGCGGCTGCCGTCAAGCGCTTTCCCGATGCGCCAGCGTTTGCCTGCCGCGCGCCACCCCGCCCCTTCCGTGCGAGCTGCTGGCCTGGCCGCCCTCCCCGTTTCTTCTGCAGGGATCCCCCCCCCCCACCCAAGGGGGCCCAGCGGCCCCCCCCCCCCGCCAGCCTCTGCACCGTCGGATGACGTCACCCCAGCAGCTGGCCAATGGCAGAGCCGCCAGCCGGGAGCATCTCTGCTGCAAGGCAGGAGCGCTGCGAGGGCGCCGGGCCGCTGCTGCGCGGCGGGCGGGCGCCTTTGTTCCTTCCCCCCAGCGGGACCTGCCGCTCGGGGTCAGCCCGGCGCCGGCGGGCGGCTTCGCGACTGCGGCCCTCGATGCCGGCTGGGCAGGGTCGCGGCCCCTCCGCTGCGCTGCCTGCTCGGAGCTTCCGTCCACCCTTTCCTCGCTCCCCGGTGCGCCCCTCGGAGGGAAACCGGGCTTCCCACGGTCCCCGGGGACGGAGAGCCGCCCATCCGCTCGCCGCGCACGGCCAGGCACCCCAGAGCGGCTCGCACCTGCCCCGACCCGGAAAACCCCAGCGCAAGCCAGGTACAGCCGCTCGCTTTCCAGCATGATCCCCCTCCCCATCCTAAGCGGGAACAGGAACAAGGAGGGGAGGGCAAGCCGGGGAGGGGTCAAGAAGGGGAGGGGGGCTCCTTGGTTCCCAGAGAAGATAATGCGGAAGGGTCAGGGAGGGGACCAGGGAGCGGCGAGCACCCAGGACGGCCGGGAGCAAGTTCTGCTGAGCAAAGTTACTTTAAGCACGGTGGTCGCCTTGGCAACTAGGGATGGGACCGGCTTGAAGGGCTGGGCTGGGATCAGAGGCCGAGCATCTTTCCGCAGATCCGTCTTCGGCCATACCGCATGCGCACTGCTCCCATTTCCGAACATTTAACATTCCTCTGCCCAGTTCACCCCCCAAGTGGAAAGACCCTCGTGTGACCGACATGCCATTGCGGATGCGACCCCAGCCCCAGCATCCAAGACGGAGGGACGTTGCCTCTCCGCCCCGCTCACGGTGCGGTTAGTCTGCTCCGTGGACTGTGGATGAACGGAAAACACGCCGGGCTTAATTTCCCAAGCCAGTGTGGGAGGCCGGATTCTGGCACCGTCATCCCTGCACAGCATTTTAGCAAGCGGCCGCATGCCTGGCGTGACGGAAAGCATCGCTCCGAACACGTAAAGCGGCTGCCAGCCTGTAGCTACAAAAATACCAGAGTCCCACAAAAACACCACCGCATTGAGCAAGAGCGGTTGTTTCCCCTCTGCTTGGGCAGGGGCCGGGAGAGCAGTTAGCGTGTTGGACTGGGACTCAGGAGATCTGAGTTCGGCCCCCTCTTGAGCCCCTGAGCTCCCTGCAGGACAAATAGAATTATATTGAGAAATAACTAAATAAGGACCTCCACAGGAGGAGAGTTGTGAGCACCAAGCCACGATTTCCAGCATCCTCTGGGGGAAGCCACGATAGTGACACCCCCGCGAGACCAGTCCGCGGGAAATGAAAGGTTCGCTAGGGCAGGAAGCGTTGCAGGCCCAGGTCTCTGGCCTCCATCAAGGGGGCTGATGTCAGACGATGCAAAGAAAAGATGAAGAAGCTTCTGCACATGTGCAGAGCGCCTTTCCCTCATCACTGCCAAAGCCCTGCGCATCCAAAAGCAACTCGAGGGCATGAGCTCATGAGTGTAGCTGAGCACTAGAAAAAATATTCTCAGATTAGTTTGCCGGCCAGGCAACCCAGCCAGGAAGATCTATATGCTCACTGGATTTGCAGCAAGACCAACTCAAGGCCTGTGACAAACACCGGAAAAAATCAGAGCAGGAAAGTTGGCGAGCTGGTTTTAAGGATCTCCCACTCAGCCATTCCATCCTTCTGGAACTCCGGAAGGGCTGTTCCGGGGCTTCCCTCCCTTCCTGAATGCATCTCTCCGTTTGCAGAGGGCGGGTGCTACCCTCGTTCGTATTTCCCCGAAAGACAGACTGGCTCCGGGAACCTGCAACCCCCACCCACACCGCCACCTTCTGCCCCTGCAGGCTAGCTGCCCGCTAACATGTCCACCATCAGCCCTGAATAGTGAGTACCGAGGGGGAGGGCGCGCCCCCCTGGGAAGGGGGCACTGGGGAGTGCAAGCCCGTGCAAGTGGGCCTGAGGGGCCGGCTGCCCCCAGGTGGAGACCCCACACACGCCCAGGCGACCCGAGCCGTGGGCACTCGCCTTCCGTGCCTCCCCCAGAATGCTTGAGCCCACAGCCCTTCCAGGCAAGCTGCTCCGTCGCTCATCCAGGCGTGTTTCCCTTCCCTTCCCTTCCCTTCCCTTCCCTTCCCTTCCCTTCCCTTCCCTTCCCTTCCCTTCCTCCCCGACAGCGACTACCTGTTTAAGCTGCTGCTGATCGGCGATTCCGGGGTTGGGAAGTCGTGCCTCCTGCTCCGTTTTGCAGTAAGTGCGGCTGGAAGCCTCCGGGCGCATGTGCCCCTTCTCGGGGCGGCGGGGAAGCATGCAGGTCCCAGCCATGAGAGGACCACGTCAGATGCGTGCAGAGCAGGGGGGCTGCAAAGAGCTGTAGTAGCCCCCCTTCGAGGAAGGGCCTGTTTAGCAACAGGGCGTGTCGGGGAGACACCACGGAGGGGCACCCATGAAGCGGGAGGAAGGTGTTCCTCTCTCTCTCTCTCACCCTGCCTGGGTCAGGGTCAGGGTCAGGGTCAGAGTCAGGGTCAGGCAGACCAGCGGGAGAATTGCTCTGCATGGAGCAAAACTGAACTCACCACTGCAGGGCAGCCACCCCTGAGCGGCCTTCCGAGGGGCTGCAGAATCCTGGAATCGCAGAACGGCAGAGCTGGAAGGGACCAGGGGGCTCTGGGCCGCACGCCCAGTGACGCCACCCACCCCTTCTCCGAGGGCTGTCCAGCCAGCCAGTTCCCGGGTGGGCCGCTACGGGCCGGCATGGCTGTCCAAAGGGCAGCCTCCGGTGAGCAGCCCGACAAACCCTCCCATGCGTGTCTCTGCGGCGACTCGCAGCCCTGCCCTCTGGGACCACGCGTGGCTTAGCCGAGACTCGCAGGGCGCTCAGGGCAGCCCCAGGAAGAACGGGAAGCTGCAGGAAACAGCACGGGGTCTTGGGCTCGGCGACAAGAGGGCAGTGGGCATCTCGCGATTTTCACAGAGGGCCCCCGATCTCTCCCCACGGCATCCCCACACGGGCAGGGGTCCTCCGCTTGACGGCACACCCCTTGCTTCCCCTTCCCCTTCCCCAGGACGACACCTACACGGACAGCTACATCAGCACCATCGGAGTCGACTTCAAGATCCGAACCATCGAGCTGGAGGGCAGGACCATCAAGCTGCAGATTGTGAGTCATTCCGCGGAGCTGGAGACCGACAACTGCGCCTCCTGGAGGCTCTTCCTGCCCACGTCAGCGCACTAAGGATCCTTTAACAGTTTATTCCAAAATTGCAATGTTGCTGTTTTATTTATTCATACGTGTATTGATAAGCCACCTATAATGCCAAGGAAGTTTTGTGCCTTTTTCTTTCTTCTTTAATGATGCAGTTAGGGATTAATTTTTATTGTTTATTTATGGATGCTGCCCAATTGTGTGGCGGCACCCCTCTGCTTTGCGTTGCACGGTAAAAACTATAAAAAACAGACCAGCAATTGGAAATTCAGCTGAAGGCAGGGGGAAGCCGCTCCCTGTCCACCCATTCCGTGGCACCGGGTGGCTCTCCCCTGTTTTGATGCGTTTGATGCAGGGGAAGGGTAGCACTGCCTAGGAAGATCGGCCGGATCCTTCCCAGCAGGAGGCATTTCCCCTTCACGCGGGCGTCTCCTGCTGAAGTGCCCGGAGGCTGAGCTGCGAGCCCGATTCTGCCCCCAGGGGCCGTGCTGAGCCTCACAGCGCTTTTCTTGGCCCCACAGTGGGACACGGCCGGGCAGGAGCGCTTCCGAACCATCACGTCCAGCTACTACCGAGGTGCGCACGGCATCATCGTCGTGTATGATGTCACGGACCAGGTGAGGCGAGCAGAAGCCGCGTGGAGAAAAGGAACCCCCCACCGCCCCCCAGGGCGCCGAGCAGGGGTGCCAGTGAAGGACGCCCGCCGGGAGGTGGCCGCGAGACGCCCGGGGGGCCTCAAAGGGGCTTCCGCAGACCCTGAAGGCGCGCCCCCGGAGCGGGCCCCTCGCCTCCGCGCGCTGAGCCTCCTACAGGCATCAGTGGCCCCGGCAGGAAGCTCGAGGCTGCAGCCCAGGGGCCGGCCCGACGGGGAGGGCAAAGCAGCCTTGCAAATACGCCCAGGGAATTGGGGGGCTGATAGAAATTCTTAGATGAAGGCTCCTGTCCCGTATTTCCCAGGAAACCTCTGCACAGGAGAGCAAAGGGGGGAAAGCAGCAGCTTTGCGGGGGGGGGGGTCTCTGTCTCCTCATTCCTCGTTCTTGCTTTTGCAGGAGACCGATAGATGGAGGGGGAGGTGGTGGCCGGGGAGACACATGTAGTTAGGGGAAAGGGAGCGTCTGCAAGGGTGGGGGCATGACAGCTTGGCCCCCGCCCCATCTGTCTGGTGCCCCTCTGCCCCTCCCCCCGCTCCCCCTTGTCCATTCCAGGACTCCTTCAACAACCTGCATCTCTGGCTGGAGGAGATAAATCGCTACGCCAGCGAGAACGTGAACAAGCTCATCGTGGGCAACAAGAGCGACCTGGCCAGCAAGAAGGCGGTGGATTACGCCACGGCCAAGGTGGGGACGGGCGGCCCCCAGCGGGCCACTGGGGCCCCTCCCGCGGCCCCGGAGCATCACCAGCATCCCACCCCGGAGGGCAGGAGGGCATGGGGCCCCATGGGGCACTTCGGGGCAGGGCAGGGGCAGCGGGGCATGGCCAGGACACACGGCCCCAGGGCAGAGCCGGGCTTTCCCCTCCCTGTCCCCAAAGCCTTTCTCCGGGGCTGCTCTTCTGCCCCGGAGACGCGGCCAGCCCAGCTCCCCCCGTACTGGCGGGAAAGCCGGGGAGCAGCGTCCAAGTGCGAATCGGAACGACTTCCAAACGTCCTCCGGCGCCAGCCCTCCAGAAGCAGCAAGGACCCTGCAGAAACCTCCATTCTCACATGCTCCCCCGCTTCCCCGACTCGTGGCCGCGCGACTGTGCAATGCAGGGCTGTCCCTCCCTCGGCCTTAAAAAAGCAACGGCTGCTGCACGCCTTGTCGTTCACTGCGGCTTCACCGTCCTCTCTCGGGGTGCAGGAATACGCAGACTCCCTCGGGGTGCCCTTCCTGGAGACCAGCGCCAAGACCGCCACCAACGTGGAGCAGGCCTTCCTCACCATGGCGGCGGAGATCAAGAACCGTGTGAGCAGCGGCCCGACCCAGAACGACAGCCACAAGTCCAGCCTGCACATCCAGAGCGGCCCCCTGAGGCAAGAAGGATCTGGCCAGGGGGAAGACGGCGGCGGGGGCTGCTGCTAAGAGACCCGCGGCGTGGCGTGGAGGTTCGGGGCGTGCGCCGGGGCCGTCGGGGACCGGACGGACCGTCTCCCCTCGCGGCATCCCCGCGTTTTGCGGGAGACCTGGCATGCGCGGAGAACTTCTGCCGGGGATCCACCCTGGCCAGCCTGTGCTTGCTTCTCGCCGTTTTCCTGGCCCAGGAGTGCAGTGCCCGTTCTGATCCGGCCGGCATCCTTCGGACGAGCTCCATCAACCCCGCTTCCAGCCCGGTTCCCTGTCGCCCGGTTCTTCTGGGCCTGCCCTTCACCCACCCACTGCAGGCTCTGAAACAGACATGTCCACCACCGGGTGCATGCGCTCCAGGTCTCGTGTCGCGGACTAATCCTCCCCAGCTCCTTGCCAACTATGTCCAGCCCTCTTCCCACTGCGGAAGGCTCTTTGACCGATCCAGAGGATACGGCTTTCCCCTCTTCTCTCCACCCCCAAACCTTTTGCTGCTCTCTGGCTCTGCGGCACTCCAGTCTGTCACTGGCCTTGTGCCGCAAGAGGCAGCGGCCAACGGATCTGTTGCGCCTCGGCGAAGCGAGGGGTCCGAGGCAGCCCCACCGTCCTCCCCTTCTGCTCGCCTCTCCGGCCGACCACCGCCAAAGAGCTCCAGACCTCAGAGGGGAGGGAAGCAGCTGCTACGCCCCCTTAAACCCTCGGTGCAGGCAAGGGCTTTTAGCGGGGCAATGCAGAATTGGATGGCGGCGTGCAAATCTCGTTTGCACGCGTAGCACATGCCAGTGTAACACACCGGCACATGCAAGCACCTTTCGTCACGTAGACATGAACCGCGACAGCCAGCCGCCTACACAGAGGAGCAAAAAAGCTCAGAACTGGTAACTTGACGTTGCTAATGCAGCGGAATGTTGCCCTTGGAGGACCCCAAGAGTCACAGGGACGCTCCCAAAACTGTATTTGGAGCGAGGGATGCACGGCCTGTGAGAGGGAAACTGACAGCAACCGCAGTTGGGGCCGCAGGGGCGCAAATCTTGCTCCGTCAGCACCTGCTAAGGCCTAAAAAGCTGGTGCCTTCGACCCCTGAAGCGGCACTGTGTCAGTCAGTGAGTTTATGTTGTGCATTAGACCCGAACACACAAATATACAAAAATGCCAATACATATGGTGCATTTGTTAAGTAGGACACCCATAACTAAAAATGGTACTGAATTATAATACGCAACTGTGCGCAGGTGTCATCGGGGGACAGTTCTGCAATGCACCAGCCCCCCCTCCGCTTATTTCCTCTTTTGCAGGTGGTGTTTATGTGCCCACAGTGCAAAACCTGGAAGTAGGCTCTGCCCAGAACAGAGACTAAAAACTGGGTTTCCTGGAATGGGTTGGGAAATAAAATGGGCTCTCGGGCCCACAAGCAAGAGGGCTGGAGCGATGGGCAACGAGGCCCTGCTGCCGAGAGCCTTTCTTCCACTTGAGAGGCACAGAAGAGCTTTCTGAGAGAATCTGGGAGCTCTTCAGTTATTATTTTACCTGTATTCCCCACTTTCCTGCCTCTTGCAAGGAAGCCAAGGGGCTTACAAGGTTCGCCTCCTCTCCATTTTATCCTCACAACAGCCCGGTGAGGTAGGTTAGACTGAGAAGCAGTGACTGGCCGTAAGTCACCCAGGGCTCCATGGCTGAGCGGGGACTCGAACCCGGATCGCCCAAGCCCCAGTCCAGCACTCAGCCCTCTACGCCACGCGGGCCCTGTGAGAGGGGAGAGCGCGCTCCGTGGGGCTGAAGGCCAGTCCCCAGGCCACGGCTGACTTTTGCCCTGCAAGATGTAAGGAGACAGAGACATTCGATCCGGAGGGAATCGGGGCCTCGGGAAGCAGCTCTTAATGCCCACAGGTGCTTCCCTGAGCTTTGTGTGTGATTATCATTCCAGTGGCAAATCCAAACTCTTTCTGAAACTCAGAAGCATCGTGCCAGGGTGTTGTCTTCACAGCGCAACCGACTGCTTGCAAGAGGCCTTTTTCTCTGGGGCCGGACAGAGCACAGAGACAAAACTCCTGTGGGGAATTTCCCGGCCTCACCTGGCTTCACCTGTGCAGAAGGTGGGCCTCCGCTTTTGAAACCCTGGCGAACCGTCCGCGGAGAGCCGCGAGGCAGGGGAAGGGACGGGGGACGCCTCAGCCAGCGGGGGAGAAGCAGCCCCTTTTCACATCACCCAACAACCCAAACATAATTCCACTTTTGCATGACTAGAATTTTGAACGGCACTTCTGTTTTCGAACGGCACTTTGGATTTTCCAGAACTACGCATTTTGGGACTGACTGTATGTTCTAAAAGGCCGTGCAGCCGAGGGTCCCGTCCCCGGGCTCCTCCGCCACTCTGATCCCCCCGCCCCCCGTCACGCGTCTTCAATAAACCACCATCTCCTCCTCCCACCTTGGTCTGGGTGCTTCCTGAACCCAAAGCGAAAGGCAAGCGCAAGCAGCTGAGCGGGGCGGACGGTCCGACAACCGACAACTCCTCACGCAAAAAGCACAGGCCAGTTCTAAGGTCAATGTTTCTTTAATAGCAAAGATTGTTCTAGAAGGCCAGCAGCCAAACAAACGTTTTCAAGCAAAACCAGCACGGTGAACTCTTAAGTCCCCTCCAAAAACACACCACACGGAGAAGAGCTGGGTGCTCCTAGTACACCCTGTGCGAGGACCCAGTGCTGCACCAGCCTAGTGCAAACCACAACAGGTGCGCGCACGACCATCCACTGCCTTCCAACCACAGAAATAAACCTGTGAGCCTTGGGCTTGAGCTCTTCCTCCTCTTCCAGGGCAGCTGCCGGAGAGCAAAAGTTATTCCCATTTGGGATTCGGCTCAGCACTGCATCAGAACCCCAAACTGCAGGTCCTCCTCACTGTACTTTCTTGAAACAAGCGACATTCACAACCCATGGATTGAAGTGGGCTTGTTCCAACAAACCGTAGTTAAAATGGCCCACAGTTTAGCGCTCACGGAAGCAACAACACACTTCACTGAAAATGGGCTCTAACCTCACGGCTCACAATGCTCACAATCTTGTTTCCATAACAATGAACCAGCTTATTTTTACACCTGAAGGCGGCCACACAGCAGGCACGCAGGGGAAGGAAGCTGCGCCAGCCGCATGCAAAAGTACATTCGAACATTCAAAACATCAGGCCTGAACCGCGCCCCCTTCCTTCCCATTGCTGCATAGGAAAGATCCCCCGTAGGAATACCACCCCAGAATGCACTGCTCTTGCTGCAATGCATTCTGGGCCCTCTCTGCTTGGTTCAAGGGGTCGTCTTGCCCACGTCCGCCCCTCAGCTGACACGGAGGCCTTCAGCAGGCAGGCAGGCAGGCAGGCAGCCCCGACCAAGATGCGGCCAGGTTAGCTGGCGAAGATGTCCACCAGGTGCTTTCTGGGCCATCGGCCCAAGTCCCGCTTGCTCAGCTGGGAGTAGAGCTGGCGCTTGGCGCTCTGATAGGGCTCGGCGTGGACCTAGCGGTGGGAGGGAGAGGGAGCCGGTCAAGGGGGCGGCTGCCCCACACAGCCACGCCGCGGGCGCTGCCACCCGGCCCGTGGCGGAGGCCGAGGAAGGGCAGCGAGGCCAATCGGGGGGGGGGTCACCTTGGCCTCGTGGTACGTGGGCAGCGCCAGCAGGTCCGTCCTCATCTCCCGGGCCACCTTCCGGAAGCATTGCAGCATCGCGGCCTTGCAGAGCCGGCTAGGGCAGAACTGGCTGCCCGACTGGCAGATGCTGGAAGGGGTAGGAAGCAGGCCGTGAGCCACACCACAAGCAGGGGGCCTGTCAAGCGAGGCACCGCAGCGCGATTCGGCCGCCGTACCGGGAAGGGCCGCAAGCTGAAAAATCGGCGGAAGCTGCCCAGTTCTTGCCCGGGCACCCTCACTCTGCGGGCCAGCCGCCCCGGCCCCCCCTCTCTGCTGGGCTGCACCCCACCATCCACCCTCCCCAGCCAGAAGGCTTGCTGGGCGGACCGGGAGCCGCGATCCAGCCCGGCGAGGGGGCAAGCGGCTGCCGAAGGCGAGCGCACACTTTACACCCAGCGGCTGAAAACGCAACCGAAGGACAAGGTTGCTTTGCTTCCCCTTACCTGTAGCACAGGAGGGAAACAGTCCTTAAAAGGGAAGTACAGCGTACAGAAGTTGGTCCCGCCGGCATTTTGAAAGCTTAGAGAAGTGGAAGGTGCTGGTGGGGAAAAGCCCCCGGGGGGGAGGCTGCGTGCTTGCGGGAGGGCTGCCCTCCCCAGGCCCCTGCCGCCAAGCCGACAGGCCCAACACAGAATGTGGCCCCAGGCTATTAAACGCGCCCCGCTTGTGGGGTACCCTCAGCAGGAAGCCAAATGCCCGCACCTCTCCTGCCTTCTCAGGGGCTGCCGCCCCCCCCCACCGCAAGGACCGTGTGGGTCTTTTCTTAGCAGAAACCGCACCCAAGGCCCGGTCTGCAAAACCGGTTTGGCTCTGACGGGCGCTGTGGGATTTGCTAGCAGGGGCGGCGAAGCCCAGACTCACTCCCGCACGGCCTTCCCGACCGAGGCCTCCACGAGCTCCAGCGTCTCGTCTCCGCCGCACCAGTTAATGCTCCAGGAGCGCCACTCCGGCGGCACGGCCAGGGGGGCCACACGCGGCCCCTCGAAGAGGTACACCGGCTGCTGGCCGTAGGGCTCCGGCAGCCCCTCCGGGGGGCCCCACGGCGCTCGCTCGTTGATGACCCAGGGCAGGCTGGCGCGGTCGTGGCGGGGATCCGCTGGAGGCACCAGGCAAGGGGGGGGGGGGAGAGGGGGCACGTGTGAGCAGGCAGCACAGGCCCGGCCCCTCGGCCAGGGCTCCCAGCCTGCCTGGGAGGAAGGTGCCGGGGCGCCCGGCTCAGCTCCATTGCTGGGGGAGGCTCTGCTCTCGCTGGAGGGCGGCCTTCCTGGGGACCCTCCCCTCCCCTCCCCTCCCCACCGGACCCCTGCGCGCTTCCTCAGAGCCCGGCACAGCAGCCGAACTCAGCACAGCACCCCCGGGCTCTCGGCCCCCATCAAGGACCCTCGGGGCTGGGCCAGGCCAGCCCCCTCCCCACACAGGCCTGGCGGTGCCCGTCTCTGTGTGGCCTGGAGACACTGGGGGGGAGAGCGGGCCCCGGGGGACGGCCGGGGCGACGCACCCAGGACGATGCTGGTGACGCGCACGGGGTGCATGAAGTGGCTGAGCAGGGCGCCCTGGACCCCCAGGACGCTCCAGCGGGTGAGCTTGTCGCTGCCGGAGGCACAGGAGACGCGGGCGGCGAGGACGCTGGGCCGGCAGAGCGCGGCAGGCCTGAGCTCGCCGTTCACGTGGACGTGGAGCCCGGCGGAGGGGCCCGGCTGCGGCAACACGCTCCTGCGGGCGAGAGGGCCGGGGGGGGGGTTCAGCCCGGGCGGAGGACGGCGGGCCGGAGCGTGGTGCGACCGGGCTTGCCCGGGGAGGAGGCTCGGTGGCCAGGCCGCGGCTGCCCTCGCCCCAGGGGGCGCTCACCTGGCCTTCTCCGCAGCTCCGCTGGGGGTTTGGCTCAGGTAGAGATGCAGGTAGTGCCGCGGCTTCAGCACGAGGCGAGTGCCATCGTCCGCCGGGCAGAAGATGCACTTCTCGAGGGCGACGGGATCCCGGCTGCAGTGCAGCAGCAGCTGCTTGTACAAGTACCTGCGGGGGGGGGGGGGGTGCAGCTCGGCGTGTGGCCGGCACAGGACTCTGGGCGGGCGCCCCCCAGGCTGCCCTGCGGGGGGCCGGAAAGCCCCACGGAGCCGTCTAAGCCAAGAGGATGCCGGGACCGCCAGCAGGCATGACCAAAAGCCATGGGCGGCAGCGGCGACACCGGAGGCCGCAACACAGCTCCCCCAGGTGGCCTGGGGAGCACACCGAAGGAACGCCTCTGTGCGCACGCAGAGCGACTCCCTCTTGCCCCTCGGTAAGCCCAACAGATCTCCCGCCTCTGCAGTCTGGAGCAAGACGCGCGCAGAGTTCCCAGGCGAGCCGGACCCCGGCCCACTCGCCCCTTCCGGCTCTGCCTCCCCCAAGGCAGCGAGCCCGGCGGGCGCCTCCAAAGGGCCGGGAGCCTACCTCAGCAGCGCCCTGCGGGCCACCACCAGCCCATGCATGTCGTGGACTCTCCGGCCGCGGAACTCGGCCCAGCCCTCGTAGCAGGCCTCGCCCGTGCCCAGCGCCACCAGCTCGTAGGTCTCCTGGCCGGTGCTCGGGCCGGCCGCTAGCTCTGCGGGGACAGGAGAGGTGCCGCTGGACCGCGCGGGCCGGAGTGCGGCAGGCGAAGCGCCCAGGTGGCGGGGGGCAGGTCGGGCGGCCCCCGCGCAGCACCCAGCGCCGGCATAACCACGCCACTCCACGCCACGCCACGCCACTCAACTCCTCCTCGTTTGCCCACCATCTTAAATGTCAGGAATTTAAAGCTGGTCTTAACTATTCACAGTCGCACTTTGAGTCTGCTCCTGTTGTGATTTTGTTTTCATTTGTGAAATGTTATTGTGGGTTTTATGCACATTTTGGTTATTGCTAATTGTTGGACGGTTTGCTTTGATTTTTGTCATGCTTTTGTGTATAGGGCGGGGTATAAATATTTTAAATAAACAAACAAACCCCAAGCCACAAGGGTCACTGCAGGAGTTCGTGCAGGAGTTCGACTGGCTGCATTTCCCGGTCGACTCTACCCTGCATTTCCTTGCTCAGATTGAGGGTCCTCACAGCCTCCCGGATGCCTCCGTCCCCAACCTCCCTTTCCGAGGTCGCCCCGGCACGGAGCAGCTCCTCCGTTGCTGCTCCCAGTGGCACGCAGCCGCTGAACTGGGAGGGGCAGGATCGAACTGGGAGCAAACCGGGAGGACTGCTCTCCTCCAGGATGGGTCAAGCGGCAAACTGCCTCCTCCTCCAGGAATTTTTCTCATTGCCCCGGGACGATTTCCAAGCGGCCCCCTGGGCAAAGCTGCAAGAGGGAGACGGCGAGCGCTCACCCCTCTCCAGGATGAAGGCGGCCACGCTGCCCAGGCAGCCCCGGCAGCCCAGCTCTTCCGCAAAGAGCACGTCACACATGCCACTGATGATGGCGGCGCAGCGCTGCTGGTGCGTGAGCTCGTGCCCTGCGGAGAAGAGAGGAAGGGCCCCTGCGAGAGCTGCCCAGCCAGTCCCCCAGGCCCACCTCTTGCCCCTCGGAGGGGCAGAAGGGCAGATCAGAGTGCAGGGCAGCTCTCCAGCACGGCTACTGGTCAGCCCCGTGTGGCTGACTGGGCAACGCCGCTGGTTCAGGTCTCTTCCCTGTCCATAGGATCTGTTGGTGACATGCAGGTACATGAGGGGGCATCACACGGAGGTGGGGAGAGGCCTGTTCTACCCTGCAGAGGAAGGCAGGATGCACCCCAATGGAGCAAAGCTCAGGGAGCCAAGGTTCAGTTTGGATGCCAGGAAGCACTTCCTGACAGGACCCCGAGGGCATGGAAATGGCTTCCACGAGGGATCGTTGGGGCCCCATCGGTGAGGTGTTCAAAGATAGGCTGGACGTGCACATGGTGGGCGTGTCGTGAGCGGAGCCGGCTGGTGCCGGAGGTCAGACTGGATGGCCCGGGAGGCCCCTTCTGACTCGCTCTGTTTCTGTGTTTCTATGTCACTTAGCGGCTATGCAGGCGATTCCATAAAAGCTGGAAATGGACCTCCATGGAGTACTTTTTTTAAAAATAAAGGCAAGCTCTTTAGTCCTTATGGGTGCAGCGGTGAAAACACAGGGGCGACAGCTGGTGAAAAACCCAGAAAAAGGAGGAGGGTTCCACGTGATTCCCAGGGTCAGAGACGTGTCCCTTCTCTGCCCCCTCCTGCCCCCTCCTCTCTCCTACATGACCACTTTGCCAAAAAACCTCATCTTGGAAGCGGGACAATTGAGACTCAGGTGCGCAGTGCAGCTTCTCTTGGCGCATTTGGAGAGGTGCACAATGCACAGGAACAGGGGAAGCCCCTTTACCAGGCCCAGATGAGTCCGTGGTTCTGCACATGGACAGACACGGAGCTCCCAGGGACACGGGAAGCCGCCACCACCCTCCCAGTGTGGGACGCAGCGCCAAGAGCGGGGCATGCACAGGTGCGCCGTCCCGACCCGCTTGCAAGTAGGGAGGCCTTCACGAAAAGACAGACCCCAGAGAAAGACCCCGTGCATGCACGGCCCCGAGGGAAAGAACACGTGGTTTCCCAGGTCTCGCTTCTTACTGGCAGACAGAGGTTTCGCAGAAGGAATCGCGAGAGTCGGCACACCTGGAAGAGGCAAAGGGAAATCCCGGCTCGTTGATGTAAGGAGAGAGGCACAGAGGCCCGGCTGCCCTGCCCTAATCTGTCAGCAATGTGCCAGCCCAGCCAGGGCCGCCTGCTCACTGGGCCTACCCACCAAGCTCACGTCTGGGTGAGAAAGTACTGTTCGTCTCCTCCAGGCCGCACTCAACTCCAGAATCTCCCTTCAGCGCCGGGTCCTGGCCTAGGAAAACAGAGAGTGCCACAAGTACCTCTGATCATGTGCCAAGTGCCTTCTGTTTAGCGTTGCAACCTCAGAGGAGACACCCACGTTCCTGACATTGGTAGCGTGACCTCAGGCCTGAAGGAGTGACCAAAAGACCACCCACCCCTTCCAAGATCTGTCCAAGTTGGTAAGCGACACAACGCGTTATTCCAGAAATCAGAGTGCCGGGAGTCTCTTCCCAGGTCTGTGGAATGGGAAACAAACAGGGCTGCAAGGGCCGAGGGGAGTTTCGCAGGGTTCGCAAGACTCACGTTTCTCTTGGAACGCCTCCTCTTGCTGGTCACAAGCATCGTCTGTCCAGTTCTGGCAAGGAGCTCCTTGAAGACAGACACGTTCATTGCAGCGCAAGAATTATGCTGCGGTAAATCTGGCAGTTGTTTAGGCATCTTTGCCATTTCAGGGGCCAAGAAAGCCGTGCCAGCATCACCGATTTCAAAGAAGCAGATCATCCTTTGGCTGCGATTTTCTTGTGAAATGCAACTTGAGAACTTTGCCCATTGAAATATGTCATAAAAATTCAGGCGCATCCTGCTTCAGACGCATCCAGTGATTATTTATTCATTATTGATTAGATTTATACCCTGCCTTTTTTCTTACAAAGAACTCAAAGTGGCTTACATCATTCTCCGGCACTCAACCTTTTCACCTGAACAACAACCCTGTAAGGTAGGCTGGGCTGAGAGTCTGTGACATTAGCACACATAACAAGTCCCTTGCGCAGCCCGATCCAACTCCTGACCACTGACCCTTTTCTCGTGCATCCTTGGAGGTGCAGGCGGCAGAGAGCGACGGCTCGTCCTTCCAAGGAGGGGGAGGCAGGCTTCCTGGACTCGATGCTGCTTTTGCCGTCCGGCAATTCATTCTCGCTGCGTCTTCTCCACCCAACATCTTTCAGGAAAGGAGGAAGACGGACCACGGTTCAACTGCCCCAAAGGAGAATCAGCCGTCAAATGATGCCTGTTAATTACGAATCCCAAATCACGAGAAGTACCAGCTCCCCTGCACTGTCTCACGAGGCAGACCTTTCCAAGGGTCGCTCACCATTTCTGCCCATTCTAAACACACTCCAACCATGAAAATCCTGCCAGGACACCTCGTTTTCCTAACCCTAACCCTACCCTGGCACACAGCCCTCACCCTAACATAGGGGTAAAGTTCCATTGAAAAGAGGGTGATTTTGAAAAGTCCTTCCTTGAGTAGATTTTCTGCGCAGCTCATCATTTCTGCCCATTCTAAACACATTCCAACCATCAGATTCGTGCCAGGACACCTCGTTTTCCTAACCCTAACCCTACCCTGGTGCACACCCCTAACCCTAATATAGGGCTGAAATACCATTGAAAAGAGGGTGATTTTGAAAAAGCCCTCCTTGAGTAGCTTTTTCTGCACAGCTCATCATTTCTGCCCATTCTAAACGCATTCCAGCCATCAAAATCCTGCCAGGACACCTCGTTTTCCTAACCCTAACCCTACCCTGGTACACACCTCTAACCCTAATATAGGGCTGAAATACCATTGGAAATAGGGTGATTTTGAAAAACCCTCATTGAGTAGCTTTTTCTGCGCAGCTCATCATTTCTGCCCATTCTAAACACATTCCAGCCATTTAAAACCTGCCAGGACACCTCGTTTTCCTAATCCTAACCCTACATTGGCGCACACCCCTAACCCTAATGTAGGGGTAAACTTCCATTGCAAAGAGGGCAATTTTGAAAAGACCTTCCTTGAGTAGCTTTTTCTGCGCAGCTCATCATTTCTGCCCATTCTAAACGCATTCCAACCATCAGATTCGTGCCAGGACACCTCGTTTTCCTAACCATAACCCTACCCTGGCGCACACCCCTAACCCTAATATAGGGGTAAAGTTCCATTGAAAAGTGAGCGATTTTGAAAATGCCTTCCTTGAGTATCTTTTTCAGCAAAGCTCATCATTTCTGCCCATTCTAAAAACATTCCAACCATCAGAATCGTGCCAGGACACCTCGTTTTCCTAACCCTAACCCTACCCTGGTGCACACCCCTAACCCTAATATAGGTCTGAAATACCATTGGAAATACGGTGATTTTGAAAAAGCCCTCCTTGAGTAGCTTTTTCTGCGCAGCTCATCATTTCTTCCCATTCTAAACGCATTCCAACCATCAGAATCGTGCCAGGGCACCTCGTTTTCCTAACCCTAACCCTACCCTGGCGCACACCCCTAACCCTAATATAGGGGTAAAGTTCCATTGAAAAGAGAGTGATTTTGAAAAAGCCCTCTTTGAGTAGCTTTTTCTGCGCAGCTCATCATTTCTGCCCATTCTAAACAAATTCCAACCATCAGAATCGTGCCAGGACACCTCGTTTTCCTAACCCTAACCCTACCCTGGTGCACACCCCTAACCCTAATATAGGGGTAAAGTTCCATTGAAAAGTGGGCGATTTTGAAAATGCCTTCCTTGAGTATCTTTTTCTGCAAAGCTCATCATTTCTGCCCATTCCAAACACCTTCCAACCATCAGAATCGTGCCAGGACACCTCGTTTTCCTAAACCTAACCCTACCCTGGTGCACACCCCTAACCCTAATGTAGTTCTGAAATACCATTGGAAATAGGGTGATTTTGAAAAAGCCCTCTTTGAGTAGCTTTTTCTGCGCAGCTCATCATTTCTGCCCATTCTAAACAAATTCCAACCATCAGAATCGTGCCAGGACACCTCGTTTTCCTAACCCTAACCCTACCCTAGTGCACACCCCTAACCCTAATATAGGGGTAAAGTTCCATTGAAAAGTGGGCGATTTTGAAAATGCCTTCCTTGAGTATCTTTTTCTGCAAAGCTCATCATTTCTGCCCATTCCAAACACCTTCCAACCATCAGAATCGTGCCAGGGCACCTCGTTTTCCTAAACCTAACCCTACCCTGGTGCACACCCCTAACCCTAATGTAGTTCTGAAATACCATTGGAAATAGGGTGATTTTGAAAAAGCCCTCCTTGAGTAGCTTTTTCTGCGCAGCTCATCATTTCTGCCCATGCTGAACACATTCCAACCAGCAGAATCGTGCCAGCACACCTCATTTTCCTAACCCTAACCCTACCCTGGTGCACACCCCTAACCCTAAT